ATAGAGAGAGAGGGAAATAGAGCGAGAGCGAGAGAGAGGGAGAGAGAGAAAGCAAAAGAGATAGAGAAAGAGAGAGGAAATAGAGAGAGAGATAGAGAGAGAGATAAGTAATAGAGAGAGTGTGTGTATGTGTTTGTGTGAGAGAGAGAGAGAGAGAGCAAGGCAGTGCAATATAGAGAGAGAGAGAAAGATAGAGAGAGAGATCGAGAGGGAGGCAATAGAGAGAGAGAAAGAGTAATATAAAGAGAGAGAGAGGGAGAGCAAGAGAAAGCAATAAAGAGAGAGAAAGAGAGATACATAGAGAGAGAGAGATGGAGAGAGATATAGATCAAGAGGGAGGCAATAAATAGATAGATAGAGAGAGAGAGGAGAGGGAGAGAGAGAGAGGCAGAGAGAGAGACAGAGGGGGCAGGGAGAGGGAGAGAGGGGGAGAGAGAGAGAGAGAGGGAGGGGAAGAGCGGGAGAGAGACAGGGAGAGAAAGAGAGAGAGAGAGAGAGGCAATAGAGAGAGAGAGAGGAGAGGGCGAGGGTGAGAGAAAGAGAGAGAGAGGGAGAGAGATAGAGAGAGGGGTAATGGGAGGGGAAGTGAGAGAGGGAGAGAGGTAATGGAGAGAGAGAGAGAGAGAGAGAGAGAGGAAGAGAGAGGCAATAGAGAGAGAGAACAAGAGAGGGCAATAGAGAGAGGGAGAGAGAGAGAGAGAGAGCAAGAGATGGCAATAGAGAGAGAGGGGCAATAGACAGAGAGAGAGTGGTAATAAAGAGAGAGGAGAGAGAGAGTGGCAATAGAGAGAGTGAGAGGAGAGGGAGAGAGAGAGACAATAGAGAGAGATAGAGAGAGAGTGGATAGAGAGAGAAAGAGAGAAAGTGGGAGAGAGAGAGAGAGAGCAAGAGAGAGGTAATAGAGAGAGAGAGAGGCAATTGAGAGAGAGAGCGAGGAGAGGGAGAGAGAGAGAGAGAGAGAGAGAGAGAGAGAGAGAGAGAGAGAGATAGAAAGGTAAATAGAGCGAGAGTGAGAGAGAGGGAGAGAGAGAGCAAAAGAGATAGAGAAAGAGAGAGGAAATAGAGAGAGAGATAGAGAGAGATAGGTAATAGAGAGAGTGTGTGTATGTGTGTGTGTGTGTGAGAGAGAGAGAGAGAGCAAGACAGTGCAATAGAGAGAGAGAGAGAAAGATAGAGAGAGATCGAGAGGGAGGCAACAGAGAGAGAAAAAGAGGGAGAAAGAGTAATATAGAAAGAGAGAGAGAGAGAGAGAGAGAGAGAGAAAGAGAAAGCAATAAAGAGAGAGAGAGATACATAAAGAGAGAGATGGAGAGAGATACAGATCAAGAGGGATGCAATAAATAGATAGATAGAGAGAGAGACAAAGGGGTCAGGGAGAGGGAGAGAGGGGGAGAGAGAGGGAGGGGAAGGGCGGGAGAGAGAGAGAGAGAGAGAGAGAGAGAGAGAGAGAGAGAGAGAGAGAGAGAAGCAATATATAGAGAGAGAGAGGCAATAGAGAGAGAGAGGAGAGGGCGAGAGTGAGAGAAAGAGAGAGAGAGGGAAAGAGATAGAGAGAGGGGTAATGGGGGGAAGTGAGAGAGGGAGAGAGGTAATGGAGAGAGAGAGAGAGAGAAAGAGAGAGATAGATAGATAGAGAGAGAGAGAGTGCAAGAGAGAGGCAATAGAGAGAGAGAACAAGCGAGGGTAATAGAGAGAGGGGGAGAGAGAGAGAGCAAGAGATGGCAATAGAAAGAGGAAGGGGCAATAGACAGAGAGAGAGTGGCAATAAAGAGAGAGGAGAGAGAGTGTGGCAATAGAGAGATTGAGAGGAGAGGGATAGAGAGAGATAGAGAGAGAGTAGAGAGAGAGAGAAAGAGAGAAAGTGGGGGAGAGAGAGAGAGAGCAAGAGAGAGGTAATAGAGAGAGAGAGGAGATGGAGAGAGAGAGGCAATTGAGAGAGAGAGCGAGGAGAGGGAGAGAGAGGGAGAGAGAGAGTTAGAGAGAGATAGTATTAATGGAGAGAGAGAGAGAGAGAAAGAGAGAGAGTGAGAGAGAGAGCGCAAGAGAGAGGTAATAGAAAGAGAGAGAGAGAAAGAGAGTGTGAGAGAGAGAACAAGAGAAAGGAAATAGATAGAAGCGGGGAGAGAGAGAAAGGCAATAGAGAAAGATATGCAATAGAGAGAGAGATGAGGGGAGAGAAAGGGAGAGAGGGGTAATGGGAAAAGAGAGAGAGAGAGAGATAGAGGGTGAGGAGACAGAGAGAGTGAGAGAAAGAGAGAGAGGGAGGGAGAGTGAGGGGTATCGGGGGAGTGAGAGAGAGAGAGGCAATAGAGAGAGGGAGAGAGAAAGAGAGAGGGAGAGAGAGAGAGAGAGGGCAAGAGAGAGGCAATAGCGAGCGAGCGAGAGAGAGAGAGAGAGAGAGAGAGAGAGATAAAAAGGGAAATAGAGCGAGAGCGAGAGGGAGCGAGAGAGAGAGAGAGAGAGAGCGAAAGAGATAGAGAAAGAGAGGTAATAGAGAGAGAGATAGAGAGATAGAGATAGAGAGAGAGAGAGAGAGAGAGAGAGAGAGAGGTAATAGAGAGAGTGTGTGTATGTGTGTGTGTGAGAGAGAGAGAGAGAGAGAGAGAGAG